TAAATACCCCAAACAGAACAATCTCCCTGAGCCACTGTTTAAATCCAGTTCACCCAGAATGCAAAGCTTTGGCAAATGGAGTGGAAACAGATAGGAAACAGTCCTCGAGTCCTGCTGCTTCAGTGCAGGTAACTGTCGCTACCTGCTAGCATAATGGAGCTGGCAGTTGCTAAGTTAAGTAGACAGGGCAGTCAGCAGCTCATTCTAGTACATCCACATTAGTATCAACGCCACTTTCTGCAGAACTCAGACGGCTCGGGTTTCGCCGGTGCATTCAGAGGAAAAAGTCAGCTCATGCACAGGCCATGCGTTTTAATTAGCTAATGGCGCTAGCCGTTTCATCTCCAGCATCTGTGTTGATTGCTTACAAAAGCCTCCATTTACTCCAAAACACGCTATTTTGGCAAAGGTCTGGGCCGGCTGCTGCTGTAGAATTCTGAACGCTTGTCCAAAAATCAGTCTAATAAATCTTTATATATACGTTTGCCAGTTTCACACTAGCAAAGGGGGGGGAAAGGAAATTCCATGATCTATGTTTTTTTCCAGCAGGTTGTTTAAGCCCATTTTTCTTCAAGTAAAGGCCTGTATGTTCAAACTTTGTCGTAAGGGTGGCTCCGCATTTAATTTTGATGAGGTAACAAAAAAGGTGTGGTTTAGGAAGTTAAATCCTAATATCCGTTAACATTACAACATGCAATTTAAAAATAAAAACATATTTTTTGCGAGCCAAATGTTCAATGACCAGCTGTCTCGTGATGGTGACGACGACAAAGATGAGAAATGCAAGCAAATGGGTGTGTACTGCCCAGAAACATTTACTGCTTCATTAAAAATTAAGTCACATATCCAAACTGAATTGCAAAAACTTGCACACCCTACCCATGTGATCTTGTAAACTGAATATTTCACAAATGAGAAGCATTACAAAAAAAGAGGTCACTTTTGAAGATGTAATATTTGGCAAATGAGCAATGAGTAAAGTAATAATTAAATAATATTTTTTATAATTATTTATAATGTATTATGATTAATATTAATGATAGTAACAATAATACATTTATACTTTTATAAATAAATGTATTATTATAATTATTTCTAAATATATTATTTAAATATTATTTAAAAATATGGTTTTCAATCCCTGAATAAACAAAACCATAGGTGAGAAAAATATTTTATTATTTATTATTTTATTTTAAACTTGAAACTTTTTATTTGAGAAGACATGAATTCACTCTAAATGACAAAAAATGCAAGAAAGAAGTCACTGAACAAACAAACAATCCGGTTCCAAAATACACTGACATTTTTGCATCAGACATATGCCTTAATGAATGTCAGCAGAGATGACGCAGGAAAAGCCAAAGTAGTAAAATCTAAAAGGTTGGAGGAATTAATACAGAGTGTTATTATGACTATGAGAACTCAGTGACCGTTTAGTACAGTAGTAAACACACATTAACCACATAAAATACAGAGCAGCACAGCCCATATTCTTAACCTGTCTGTCACAGCAGGAACAAACTGCAGAAAATGGCAAGAAAACCTCAAGTCGACTGCAATAACGCTAAACCAAAGCCAAGATATTAATGAAATAAGATTAAACCAATACATTCCAGAGGAAATTCAATAAAGAAACCATCATTAATGTCCAACGTTGTAGCATGGATCTGCTCATCAAACATGATCAACTGGATAAGTAACTGGAGTATTATCAACAGATACGCTTTGATGAATATTTACATGATTTTCATGAGCTGCTGGGATAGGTGATCTGAAATACAAATCCAGAGTTGAATCCAGTACAGCATTGATGTATAAGAGCCCTGGGACAGTGTCGGGGCAGCAGTCGCTGGATAAATTTGTAATATTAATGCAGACAAGAAGGGCAAAAAAGCAATAAACTAAAACAACACTTGAATTAGGCATGAAACACAACAGGATATTGCAGTGAGATTATGTTGTTTCCTTTTAGATGCCTTCTGCCTCTGCTGTCCGACTACCACAAAACAGCCCGCGGCATTTTTTAATTGGACAGGGTGGACCGAAAAAGCCTCTCAAACTCTGCGAAGCGGTTTTAAGAGGTCTGCCGAGCTCAGTGATTGCAGATGTAGCTGTGTTTTTACGTGCCGGGGCATAAAACCACGTCCAGGTATGGACGGTGACAAAGCAGAGAGTCAGAACCCCGTCCTATGTTTGTGATAATGACTTTTTCCTGCCAAGGCGCTGCATGATACAAATAAATGCAGCACAGCTGGGAGAGAGAGAGGAATGAGAGAGTGTTATGTTTGGATGCAGGGAAATCGTGCCTCGTGCGCTCTCTGAGGAATCTGCAGTTGGAAAGGTAATAAAGGGATTAGCTGGGTTTTCTGAAGCATTTGCTTCTAAATCAAAACGTCTCATCGGTTTCCTCTGCACAAATAGCTAGAATACCAAAATGTCTTGGTATATTGCGCAAAGGACACAAATGCAACATGTTTCAGACAAAAGCTGCTTAATGCCGAGGTCACAGGAAGGCATCGATTCGGAGGAAAAAATTAAAACACTTCAGAACCTGAGAAAGGTCAACTAGTCAAGTATGTGCACTCATCCAATTTGTGAAATATAAATAAATGTAATTAATAAATAATTATAATTTTAAAAAATGATAAATATATAAATACTATTTTAATGAATATAAATTATATTTTAAATAAATATAATATTTATTTTTTCTCCAATGATTACAAGGTAGTGAATGAATCAAGATGAGTTTTCATTCAGAATCACACAGTTTGTGTGGTTGAGTGTGTACGTTAAAAACTTCCCATAAAAACCGCATATCATTTAGCATTAGTATTAATATCATTAAAGTCACTTTTAAATAAAAAAAACATCGATACTGTAAAAAATAAACTCACCCAGTAACACAATAAGTCAATTCCACACAAATCTACTCAAACTTTACCCACATTACTTTTATTTCCTTAAAAAATCAGTTTAAATGTAAGTCATTAATATTTGAAAGCACTAAGTTACAAAAATAAAATAAAATCTTTCCAAATAGGCCTGGAATCTGCTTAAGTACCACACATACTGCCAGTTGGGATTCATTTAATGATCCACTAAATTTGAAAATCATTTGACGTTTGACTTAAATTTACCTTTTCTGTTTTTCGCACAGGAAACGTTAATGTGATTCTAGTCCAGGCCACCGGACTGCCTAAAAACAGAGACTGAACTTGGACAGAGTTGACTCGGTGAGAGGCCTTCGCTACATCCACAGACAATGTCCAGCCATTTTACAACAATAATGCGTTTGTTCCTATCTTAGCATCTGCTTAGCATCGCCATGAATAAAAATGAGTGTTTGTTTGTTCTAACAGTTTGTAACACCAGGGCTCTTGCCACATAGTCCGGGCAGAGTTTTGAGAGTAAGAACAGAACTCCTACAGCACTGTTGTAGCCTACAAGTATGAGCAAGTGAGAAAAAGAGAGAGATTATGCTATAAAATAAGAAAAAACAATAATACTCAAATACATACAGTATATACAACAACAAAAGAAACGATTCACAAAAATGATTTCCAGAACTACCAAGTTTATGCCGCAGAGTGCGCAGCAATGCCGAAAATGTAGCTGCATGGACTTGAAGGAATTTATAAGATCTAATTACATCTGTCAGTCCAGCTGCTGTGAGCTCAGAGTAAACCAATGTCTTCTCGAGAATAAACACAACTTGTCATTAATAACCTCAACGGAACTACTTAATGCTACCCTTGTAACATACTCCACATATTAGTGTACAGCTGTCTCCTATTGACACGGCTAAACAGATAATTCGGATACAAAAAGGCATCCTGGGATTTAAATGAATAGGCCGACTTCAAAACAAGCTGTTAAAGTATCTGTAAAATAAAAGGATTTTTGGACAGAATCTTGTGTATGAAATTGAATCTGAATCTGACAAGAAATCCAACGTTCTCCGATTGAGCAATAGAGGGGAATTTTGCTAGTCATCTCCTCTGCGGCTCCGTTCTTACAGACTACTACATTTTTCCAAGTGTTTAGTTTGGATAAAGAGCCAATTCGCTTAATACTTGTGGGACGGCTAAACGTTTAAACCTCATATTTAAAGGGATCAAGTGCACGCATTGTTTGGTTATGTTAAACAGATGTGTAGGTTTTTTTTCTTAGATCTCAATCATTTCGGGATTTTTTAAAAGGAAAAGACAGAAAGACAGAGAGAGAGAAAGAGATCTTAAGAAAATAAACAGAGTTTCACCCTACACAAATTGTGGACTAATTGTGTATTTGGACTTGCGCATTGGTGGGGCTGGAGCCATTTTTCCACTTGAGCGGAGAATTTTAGAAAAGGCACTTTGACATTGATTAGTGTGTTGACTTGTGGAATCGGATAGTTTTACCTGGATGTCTTGGGTTTCACCACAACACTATTTATACAGCTAGACTACAGGTCCAATTAAATACCCAAACCCGTCAGTGGAAAAGTTAGCCGCGCTTTCAGTTGAAATCATAATTTCTCATGCCATGTGATATGGTTGTGTAAAAAAAGCTGAGGAAAATAGGCATAGGTGGTCCCTTGAAAGCTGTTACGAAAAATGAAGCTTGGAGAGAACTTCCAAATCTATTCCTTGAATAAAACAGACATAAAAATAATGGATTTGTAAAAAACTTTTGTGGGGCCTTTAGAAAGAAATTTGGTTTAATAAAGCCTAATGAAAGAGTTATTTGTCCTTGGTTGATAATACATACTTAAAAACTGATTTTAAAATTGACCTGCTTAATTAAAAATTATTATACCGCATTTGGTTTCCCCAACTTTCCACTCAAATTAAAGCCAATGAGGATTCCAACAAAAACAATTCAGTCCGAAATACTGCGTATGCATTTTCAAGGCCAATTCAGCTGCCAGCTATAATCACCTCTATGAATTTCATTATGGGGAACCGCTGGAAATTGTGCACTTTTGACAGCCAGCAAAAATGGTAGATACTCACCATGCATTTGTTAGGTTTCTCTCCAGAGTGAACCCTCATGTGGATGAGCAACTTGTAGCGGGCGTTGAAGGGTTTGTAGCGCCGGACACATCCGGCCCAAAAGCAGGTGAAGTCCTCACCCTTGCGCTGGTCGATGTGGACCTTCTCGATATGCCTAACCAGCTCCTCCTGCTGCTCATACGCCGCGCTGCAGTCAATCCATCGGCATACCTGCTTATCGCTAAATACGTCCTCCCTGTCGCCCACCTGCTGTTCGACCAGGCCTGTGGGTTTGGGTTGTGCCAGCAGGCCTGAGGGTGGAGACTGCTGCTGGCTCTGAAGATGCAGTAGAGCACCTGGGCCGGAGCCCATGTACTGGTGCAGGTGGTAGGGAGGGGGCATGGGCGGCCGTGGGGGGCCTGTTTGATGGTGGTGGTGATGGTGGGAATGCCCACCGCAGTGGCTTCCGTGGCTCGTCAGATAGTGATAGTGATGCTGAAAGAGCTCCTCCTCACTTGGAGAGAACTCATCCACTGGTTCCTGTTTCAGCGTCGCCGTACAGCCGTCCAGCACAGCGCCGGGCTGTATGAGAAGTCCAAGTCCGTCGCTACTACCCATGCCGGGTCCCGGCTGCATGGAGCCCGCGTCCTCACAATGCTCCACAGATGACACCGAGGAGGACGAGGATGAAGAGGAGAGAGGTAGGAGGCAGGACGAAGTGGAAGGTGATGGCAGCTGAGGGCTGGGGAGAGGCTTGTGGGAGAACGTGGCGGCAGTAGGCGACGACGAATTGGTGCGCAGGCCGTTAACGCAGGACATCTGGGAGGAGCAGATGTTTGCGGCAATATCGATTCCCTCCGAGGCTGACTGGGAGGCCACTGAGAGGCAGCGTCTCTTCAGTCCGCTCGCGTTCGGCCTTGCTGAGTGACGCGAGCTCGGGGACAAAGCCAGCAGGGAGGAGCCATCTTCATTATTAAATGGATACACAGTCACCGCCATTGCTGACAACGAGAGAACTGTTGCTAAGTTACCTTCGCCGCCTCCACCGCCGCCGCCAATGCTCGGACGGTCCAATTCCCTGTGACCTGCTCCCATCCCTCCTGAAAAGTCACCCAGGGCTGATCCCAGCTTGTAGCCTTCCTGTTTGATGGGGTACGACGGCAACCCATGACAACCATTGACGCCACCAGACAGAGATGACGAGCTGAGAGCCGTCTGAAAGCCAGCAGACCTGCGGGAGAATGAAACACACCCAGAGGAATATGAGGAGCGTTTAGGCAAAACGGAGCAGAAAGAATATGCACGCTATTAGCGGCCTGGCTCGTTGAAAGATAAAGGCCAGGGCTTCTCAAAGCACTGCCAACTCTGCACTGTCAGACACCAAAGGAACAGACAAGCTCTGTGCTCCGGTCCTGGCAGACCTGCACTCTCAAACATCTCTGTTAACACTGACAATGTTTGACCAAAAGCGACGCGATTGGAGATTCGTTTTGCAAACCCTTAAAGAATCTTATTAGGTTATAATGTTTGGTTTGTGCTGATCAGAAGCTACTTTTTATGTTCCTCTCTCTCTCTCAGGAAACAGCCATTGGATGGGTTTCCATTGCGGTGTATTTTAAACACCGGTTAGATCCACCACAAACGCTCCAGAGCAATTCCATGAATAAATGATGCAGGAAATTTGGCCTGAACTATAGTTATGAATCGGTATTTAAAAATAAGAAAAGAGAGAAATGAATACAGGCAGGCTGTCATACTCAGCGTATGACAGGCTTTGATGACACAATAGGAGTTAACCGAAGCCTACATGTGAGCTAAATAGAAGTCACCTGGTTTTGGTGGTATAATGGTGGGCCTCTAAACGCTCTGTGTTTACAATACTCCCCATTATAGTGGGAATCTTTGCCCCCCTTGAATGGGGGTCATATTTCCCAGTGCGTCGCTGTGATCTTCCACATAATAATTCCTGTCAGTTTGCTCATTATGGATTTGTGTGCAAAGCTCCGGGATGATGTGAGAAGGGCCCTCTGTCCCAGCAGCCTATGAAAGATTTTGTCTAAGTCCCCTTTTCACTTGGTGCGGAAACCGCTAATGCTAGCGCGCTGGCTGAGCCGAAGCCTCAAGTTTGTCATGAGTCGCTCCATTCAGGCTCACCACTTCCTGTTTGGCTGAAGCAGTGACATTCAGCGACAGTATTGGAAGAGTTGGATGGCATGTTTGAGTGAAAGCACTTTGGATAGCATCCCTCGCTGAAACGATGGGTTTCAACTGTACTGCGGCTACACAGAAGCCAACAGAAACCGACGGCAGTCTCTTTTCCTAGCCGTTTAAAAAACAAACGCAACCAAGAAGCGCCATCAGTACTGCAGTGTTTTACTAGCTTGTTTGACTTGTTCCGCACTACTTTATTAAACAACCTGCTTTATTTGCTTTGCAGATATGAGTTTACATTTCTAATGTAATTAGCAGGACTATAAAATTGCAATCTTAAATGCTTTACATGCACTTTACTAGATACTACTCACTAGATCACTACTAATCCTGGACGTCTCAGAGAACAAAAAGCAAATACTTGTTTGTTTTTTCATTAATAATGGTACTAATATACCATTTAAAAGTTAAGGATCAGTAAGATGTTTTTGACAGACGTTTCTTATGCTCAACAAGGCTGTATTTATTTGATCAAAAATAGAGTAAAAACAGTAATATAGTGATGTCTTCGGTGTCACATGATCCTTCAGAAATCATTTTAATATGCTGAAACTATGATATTGGCCCAGTTGTTTCAGGATTCTTTGATAAATCGAAAGTTCAAAAGAACAACATTTATTAGGCGATTTTCTCAATATTTAGATTTTTTTTTTTTGCACCCTCAGATTCCAGATTTTCAAATAATTGTATCTTGGCCAAATTTTGTCCTATCCTAACAAACCATACACCAATGGAAAGCTTATTTATGTATAAATCTCAATTTCGAAAAAATTGGTTTTGTGGTCCTGGGTCACATATGTATCTTTATAAATCTTTTGTAAATATATAAATGTCTTTACTGTCACTTTTAAAAATAAATGTTGGGCCGCCACCATTGCTCGGACGGTCCAATTCCCTGCGACCTGCTTTTAAACAAATGAATGCTATCTTGCTTAATAAAAGCATTAATTTCTTTCCAACCAACTAATAAATAAATTAATAAATAAATCTCACTGACCCTAAACTTTTGAATGGTAGTGTAAGTAGGAGGAGGAGGAATCACTGGTTGTCATGTCACAAAATAGCAATGTTTCACTCATGAATATTAATTAGACTATGCATAAATCACTAAGATCTTTCACTTTCATCAAATAAACAGTCAATGTAATGTACATCAGATCTGTAGTAGATTATTAGCTCATTTCCAAGTCAAAATTGAATGAAATAACATTATGCTTAGCAAATGTTCAATATATATTTTAAAAAGCACATTCAGTTACTTTTTCATTCAGTTACTTTTACATTCGGGCAACTATTCTTATTGATCAGTCCAAGTGTTGTGCTGTGCTAGTCTCACCTGGCGTCTCGATGGGGGCTTTCCTGCAGGTGAAGGTTCTGTGTGGGCGGTTCACAGTGGCTGCTGTGGTGGTACTGGGCTCCAGGCTGAACTGGCAGGGTCTGTCCACAGCGCAGCAAAGTTCCTTCTTCTGCTGTCAGCTCAGGAGTGCTTTCCTTCTCTGAACAGAATGAGATACATCCCCCATTCACTGAAAGAGGTGGAAAATACAACAGCTATATTAACATTTACAGATTTTTTAAACCATTCACCAATCTTTTAAACCCATTGCATGACTTTCTGGAGTGCTTCATTTTAACAATGAGACACAGTCAATGTCATTGCATAGGGAGAACTCTTAAACTGAGTGTAGCAAATGTAATCAAAATACGGTTTCATAGTGTTTGAAAATATTTCCAGAAGGAAAGCTGACACTCTTTTTGAGTCCAGTGTGGGTGACCACATTATTCAAGTTTTTTACTAACTCAATTTTGTAATTTAAATTTACAGATAGGGTTGAATTGACAAATGCAACACAATTTCACTGAGTGTAGCAAATGTAATCAAAATACGGTTTCATAGTGTTTGAAAATATTTCCAGAAGGAAAGCTGACACTCTTTTTGAGTCCAGTGTGGGTGACCACATTATTCAAGTTTTTTACTAACTCAATTTTAGAAATTGAATTTGCTCGCAATGATGATATTAATAATGCAACACCCAATGGAGTCTGATCAAAACCAGCATCTAAACATGTGGATAAAGCCAAACCAAAGACAAAGGAGGTTCGGTAAGATATCGTTTCCAAGTACACAAAATGAAAAGGTGACAAGTAATTGCTATAAAGCAAACAATTGTGAGGGAAACAAAGAAATGAGTGTTGAGAGGCGAGAGGCGAGAAGAAGTGAGAGAAAGAGAAAAAGAAAGATGGAGAAGGAGGTCACAAGACACGCAGGTCCTGTTAAAGCACATGCTGGATCCACTCAACTCTATAAACAGAAGAAACACACTTTTTCACATCCATTCTAGTTTTCAAAGAACAATAATGGTTGTTTATTAAATCTTGGATCATTTTTTCTTGGCTTAGAAATCCCACAGTTGGAATGTCAAACTGTGTTTGTGTATAACATCACTGCTGGCTGAGCTAAAGCCAGGGCTTTCTTGCTTCATCTGGAGAGGATTGAGAGGTTTGTCAATGACGTTGGAATAGTTTGTTTCACACTAAAACTAACATTCTTTTAATTACGTCCTCCTGTTCTTTCGTCCCTTAGCAAGCTACTATGCTGTGAGCTCATTTTAAATAGAAATTATACATGTTCAACTTATTTTAGGCTTGATTCCTGTATGTAACACTGATAATCGGTTTCACAAGACGTCTTCAAATGCCACAAAGTCAAGTAGAAGTAAACTATACTGCTGATGTGAGGTGCAGAGAGAATATAGCCAGAAGCCACAGGAATTTTCAACACAAATCTGTTTTACAGATTTTCAAAATTGCTCAATATCATATCTGGGATGCAATTCTTGCCACAAGAGGCAGCTTGTGAAAACAGTTTTGCTGTGAGCCATTTAGCTAAGACCCTTTAACCCCCAAAATAGCTATTTAAGCAACCACGAGGAACAGAAGACACAAATATGCTTTTTTGTTTCAAAATAACAGTAGAACCTTTGAGGCACTTTTGATTACAAGCATAAAAACGATCATGAATAGCAGATGAAATGCCTTTGCTGAAGGTGATAATTGGAGTTTAGACGATTGTCCCCAATCGACGCGCTTGTGCAACACAGACATGTGCACATCCAACCTGCAGAAGATGAGGCAAATGGCTCAGTATCAGAATACTTCACACTCCATATGCTTCTTTTAATGTATCATTGTCCAATTCCAAAAAAGTGCTGCCAAGTTACATCAATTCAGATCCAAGTTTGCATTAAAAGACTTGCTCTATACGGAGAGAATTATGGGAGAGGTTTAAAGATATGAAGCTTTGTTACATTAACAGAATTAGTCACGGCAAGGCTGCATAAGAGAAGCTCCTCCACATTTGGAAACTTGGACAGAATGTTAGATTGGATTTATATTGAATTTGCAATGGTAATTCACTTCTGGGTATTGCACTTGGTTTTGGTCAGAAGGTGGGAGTCTGTGAAAGCTCCAGTTGTGAAAGCTGGGACAATGAGAAAAAGAGAGAAAAAAAAGAAAGAGACAGATTTCAATGCTCTGAGAGCAGTGGAACCCACAGCCTTCTTGTACTTAAAACATTGGTATCATCAGATGCATGACCGAATTTATGTTTTCTTGTATTATAAAATGTTGTTTAAGGATTTTATCCCACTTTTCATTGATAGAGACAGTAGAAAGGGGATTTTAGGGGAGGCCAATCTGCCACAATACTAAATTGCATTTTTCAATAAAAAAATTTAAAAAATAATTTAATACTCTATGAAAGTGCCATTTGAAAATCAAATATATTTTTTAGAAGTATAGGCATGCGTTCTCTTTGAATTAGGGACAGACTGGGGGCACTGGCACAGCTGGAGATCTCACTAAAACACTTACATCAGACGGATTCTCGTCTCACCGGCTTCCAGTGACACACTTTCTTCCCCCCATCACCACAGTCAGCAGGCCCGTAATCGCACACAGTCCGGACAGTCACACAGCCTTTCAGTGGCCTGAACGTTTAAAGTATTTGAATATAAGTGAATCGCTATCACTTTACAATAAGATTTACTTTATTTATGCAGGTGTCCTGAACAAACAATCAACAACAATTGGTTTATGTTAATAAAAAATATACATTTCTATAATATAATAGAAAAGAATAGAATAGAATAGAATATTATAATATAATATAATATAATAATTACAGAACAATTATAAATATGCTGCTTGAAATATGAAGCACGGCTGCAGGCTGAAGCACAGCAATGCTTTATGTCAACTATCCAGATGCGGACATGATACGTCATAAAAGGTCTTGATATATACACAACAGAAACCTCCAAAAGAGCTTTTTCGCCCAGACTTTTTGTCTGTATCTCACACAGTGAAATCAAACTGAGATGGATGAAGGACAAAGAACACATTGGCTCTCATCTATACCTGGAGGACAGACAGAACACAGAGAGGATGTTTCTTCAGCTCTCTTAGAAGATCTCTGATCCTTGACCAAATGTAAGCCAGGGTAAAGGAGGGAGCAGGTTTGCAAGCATTCAGAGGCTATTAAGGAATGACAATCTTGGGTGTGAGATCACTGCAGTGCGGTGCCAATAACACCTGAGGGCAAAGCAGAGCTATGTGATGAAGACCAGACTGGTGTGCTGGCCCACAAGAACACAATCACAGAGCAGAAAAACACTTCCATTGTATCCTCGTTTCACGTGTACAAAAGAACAAGGCTTTTAGACTCTGGGCAAATAACAAAGCTGTTTTATATGACAAACACTCACATGCTATATATCCATCTTATTCAGACTTGTCAACTTTTAAAGAGGAACAGAAAACACTTCCCATATCTTTTGTTGACATCAGAGTCTCTGCTTCCAGTCAAGCTCTGCTTTATTTGGTGCAAATTCATCTGTCATTTGGTTAATATAGTTACAAAATATTTGGGGAAATTAAAAATACAATATTTGATTAATATAAATTTAGAAAACTGTCAATTTGTCATGTTCACTTTGCATATTTTCAGAGTATGAGTGTGTTTGCACAAACTTGCATCAATTATATCAATTATATAAAAAGAAAAGAAAAACTTTTATTTTTTTGCTCACTGATTTTACTTTCTACACAGTTCAGAAGTATAGGGTCAGATTTAAAATTTTGTATGGTGTTTAAGGCGTATGTAAGGTTTTTTTTTTTTTTTTGAAGAAAGTAATATTTTTATTCAGCAAAATTGAAGTGAAAACATTTAGAATGTTACAAAAGTTGACTATTTCAAGTAAATCCTGTTCTTTTAAACTTTCTATTCATCAAAGAATCCTGTAAAAAATATATAAATAAATAAATAAACAACAAATAACTAAATCATGGTTCCACAAAAATATTAAACCGAAAATACCTTTTCTGATTTTTTTGCGAGTGCATGTCTTTCTGCAAATATCTGATGTCAACAGATTGAAAAACAGATTTAAAATCTCATGTAAACATATTTTTCCTGTATGCCAGAGTTATCAGGGTATTGTTGTGCTTGTAAACATTCAGCATTTGATTTTATGAATATGTTGTTGATGTTTTGTTTGATAAACAATTTTATTATTACTGGTTTGAGGCCAAATGACCACTTGATGTCCAAAATCAAAACTGGAATCAAGAAAAGCTACTTAGAATCACTGCTTTACTGTAACATACAGTAGGAGAAGACACAGTGCAACCCCACCACTGGACCATGGGGACTCCCTGCATCTGATCAGCAGATGGGTCGGCCATTATTAAATGTAATTGGTGGTAATCTTAGGTGATTTTTTATTTCGGTGACACTTCATTTTCTACAATTCTCGCCTCCTGCCTTTCAAGTCACCTAAGTGCAGCATTAAGTGCTGGAGTGAGACCGAGCTTGTGCCAGCATTTAATGTTTTCAAGTCTTCAGAGATGCTGGCAATGGAAAGCAGATGTCCCGAAGACCCTGGAATACTGAACAAGACGGGGCTTCAGAGAGGATGGGAGAGGGCTGTGCGTATGCGCATGTGTGCCAGTGCACGTATGTGTGTATCAACTCTAATGCACGTCAAACATGTAAGTCTACAGAACAACAAGCTGCCAAAACCACAAGATAGATGCGTCTGGAAATGCACTGTGACATTTCTACTCAGGCCACTTTAGCACCATAAATCATAGCATCCACACTTAAACAGTTAATAACGATCAGAACTCTCTGATGCACTCTTCCTCTTACATTCGCTGCTCTTTTTCGGCCTTATTAACTCGTTAGTGGGGCTAGCTAAGATGGGCATAACTATTACTAGTGTTCATTACTAGGGTTAGGGATTAAACGTTTACATCTGTCATACCTTAAATCGTGCGGCTTGTTGAGAAAAGGATCTGAGATGCAGTTTTACCTGGTGGACCATAAAATGAAAAAAAAAAATCCTATAGACTTATATCATGTGACATTATTAAGGCTTGGGGAGCAAACCACCTTGCAACCTCCAAAAACGATCTTCGATTAATATGCTAAAGCACAAGTTTTATTTCCTGTCTACATAAAAAA